AAACCGGCCTCCGACATATTTTTTAATCGCTTGGAACCCTCTATTATTCTAACTTTTAAACTTAACTGGTGTGAATGTCCAACCGACCGATCGATCGATCGATCGACCGATCCGTCGATTCGTGGCCGAAAACAGTAATCGACCGCTCGCTCGCTCGCTTTCACCTTAACCATAACTTCTCTGTCACGATTCTCATTATCAGCATCGTATCGATCGCTCGGATTATCGAGATGTGTTCTATATTGACCAACAATGTACTTGCCGAGTATTTATAGCTGTTCGTACAACGCGAGAAAGAAAGGGGCGGACTCCAATCGTTCTTTGCAATTTTTATTTCGTTTCCCCTCTCTTTCTCTGTATCTCGCCGTTTTCTTCCTTTCTTTTAAGCCACTTGTTAGATCGGCGATTCCCCGCTTTCAAATCGATTCCCGCGAGAATTCTCCATTGGAACTACATCGGCCGTTTCTTCGTTTTATCTCTTCCTTCACCTTTTGCGCCTGTCTTTCGTTTCTTTTTTTTCTTTTCTTTTCTTTTCTTTTTATCTCTTTCGTATGCCTGTCGTCTTTTTTTTTTCTCTTTTTCAATCGTTGGATCGGGATGACACGAAAAATCAAAGTTGAAAACATCTCACTCGAATCCCCTACACGTGCCCTGAAAAAGAAGGAAAAAAAAAAAGAAAAAAGAAACGTGTGTGGTCCTTACGTATATAATTTTCAAGCAAAACGGAAGAAAAGGAACGAATGAGGAGAGAAAGAGTCGATAGCCCAGCAAAGGATAAGAAGGAAGAAAAAGAAAGGTTCGATCGTTCGTTCGATCGATGATTAAACAGTAAGATCAATTCGACACGAATGTTCTTTTCTTTTTTTCTTTTCTCAATTTCACCTGCGAGTTCCACCTCCTGTTGATCAAAACGAGAGAGAGACTTTCTTCAATGATCGTCGATAACGATAAAACAGCACGGTCAGAAATCCAAAAGTCGGTCGTGTGTTTTCGTGTGTATGGTCGTTTCGCACGGAGAAAATGCTCGATCGGGCAAAGTAGCGATATAATCTTACACCACGCATGTTTGAAATTTGTACAATGGTGAATGCACATGCAGAAACGGAAGGCGCTCATCTAGGATTAAATACGCTCGCTGTTTTCTCGCTTCGACTTACACAAATTCGCAACATCCTTGCTTCTGGTTGCTCGTTTGTTCGTTCTTTTCGTTCACTCGTGACGTCCCCGAGACGCGCACGAGAACTCGGGCTGCTTCTGATGATTGAATGTTCGAAGGAACAAATCGGCGTACGCTTTTAAGCGTATCACGAACGTGCTAGCATAGTTGAATCTAAATTCTAGATTCTAAATGTATGTTGCGTGTTGCGTTTATCCAACCTCACCACGGAAGAAGTCGTAAATTGAAACTATACTTGACCGGGTGCATCGGTTTACCCAATCGGATTTATTTTTCATCAAGGGTGCACACGATGCGTTTCACGATTGCTGATTCTTCGATCGAATGTGCGATCGTCTATGTGTTACGAATAAACGACACGTTTTCTCTTCAAAACGAGGAATACTCTTTAGAATACATGTCTTCTTCTTCTTCTTCTTCTTCTTCTTCTTCTTCTTCTTCGTCTTCTTCTTCTTCGCCATTCAGCATACTCACTTTCGAAGAAATAGAACGTCGTATGTATTCAATTATCGATATCGAACGTTACGATTTACGGACTTCATTGTCAAATTTGCAACACCGATCCCTTATTGGCTGTACGTATGTGTATGTATTACCGCTTACATGCATGTGAACACATGCATGCATAGATACATGTAAAACTTAAAGAGTGATTCCAGTTCTTGTACAGAGAGAAATATGCAATTTCGAAAATTTGTTCCATTTGGTTTGTAATCAATTGAAAACGTAATGCTCCGATCGCAAGGTCTCGCGAGCCTGCAATTTTTTTCCGAGATATGGAAACTTGAAAATAAAGTATTCGTGATATAAAAGGTGCGTGTTTGCTACCGTCATAAACGCAGCTTCCTAGGCAAAACGTGTAAAACATTGTTATTTCGTGTTCTCTCGACTCTGTTTCGATTGCTTTGACCGGCTTTGCGTACAGAATGTAATTTATGATGTCAGATCCTTCTAGCGGGAGGAAATCTTCAACAGTCATATATTTCAACCAGTTTCGTTGTTACTGTCCAAACATAATTGTAACGATATGTATCGGAAGAATGATCAGTGTCGTGCAAAACTCACCACTGGAGAGAAAGAAATACCGAAGTCCCCAGTATGTGTTGAATTGTGTGATATATGAATGAATGAAGCCGCATTATGCAATCCTTCTTGTAAATTTTAAATATAACGAATCCTGTGAAAACATTTTTCTCTTTTGGACTCAATTTATCTGAGTCATTGGCAGTTTGTGTCAAAAAATAAATTGATTCGTTAAAAGAAAATCGTTCTGTGTCTATTATTTCCAAAAGTTTGTATATCTTGAAAGCCTAAATGAAATTATAGAGAAAATATGTAGAAAGTGTATGAATTGTTTGTTCAATTGAAATTTTCGTCATACTCTAAAAATAAAATTACTAGATTTATTTAGAAATGTGACAAAATCATAAAAGAGGTATATCACAGGCGAGAAATAATCAAAGCAAAAGAATCATCCCGCCACCTACCGAGTGGTTGTAGAAATACGTATGTGCAACATTCCCACATCTAGACATTATTTAGCTCGTGCTTCACGAAACACAGTGTATTGAACAATTGTGTTCATCAGTGTTATAATTATAATTTCAATTTATAATGCCGTTGGAAAATTTAGAAGAAGAGGGTTTAGAGAAGAATCCCAACTTGGAGTTGGCACAAACTAAATTCTTCTTGAGTCTACCAGAACATAAGGATGATCCATTTTTAAAGAACAAACTGCTAGATGCCATTAAAGCAGAAAGTGAGATAGCACTTTTCTTCCTTAAATTAATAATTTCGAGTCATCTATACAACAGGAAATTTTGTTTATAATAAATTAAATATTCGATATCAGAAATGAAATTAACACTTTATATAAAATGAAACTAAGAAAATTGACACTTAACCATGACACTTAACATAACCTTACTGTCGACGACTTTATTTCTTTTTTGTAACGTAAATTCGATAATTTGTTGATTCAATGGTTTTTTTCCTTTTTATTTATGGATATTCTTTTTCGTTGTTGCTCAGTAGCAAGCTTGATCTGAAAAAATGTGTAATGTAATTATGAATATTTATAATACAACAAAAACATAATGAAAATTATATATTAAAAATAAAAAGAAACAAAGTATTTAAGTAATGTTTCAATACATATAATTCACTTTTTTTTAGATATGGCCCCATTCTATGAAGAAGTTTGTAAAGACTTGAGTTGGTCTGTCGATGAAGCTCTTTTAGCTGCTATGAAAGCAAAGAATATGGAACAATTGAAAAAATTAGATGATGCAATTGAGGATGCCGAGAAGAACTTGGGTGAAATGGAAGTCAGAGATGCCAATCTTAAAAAGTCAGAACATTTATGTAGAATAGGTGATAAGGAAGGTGCAATTTCTGCATTCAAAAAAACTTATGATAAAACTGTATCATTAGGACATAGATTAGATATTGTGTTTCATAATATTAGGATTGGATTATTTTATCTAGATCATGATCATGTTACTAAAAATATAGAAAAAGCTAAAAGGTATGTGAGTATTCAAAAAGAAGATATTTAGATGCAACATAAATATGCAATATAAATATTACTATTTTGTTTCAGTTTGATAGAGGAGGGTGGTGATTGGGACAGACGAAATCGTTTGAAAGTATATCAAGGAACATACTGTATAGCAGTACGTGATTTTAAAGAAGCTGCAAATTTCTTTCTAGATACAATCAGCACATTTACCAGCTATGAACTTATGGATTATAATACATTTGTGAGATACACTGTATATTTAAGCATGATAAGTTTACCTAGAAATGAACTCAGAGATAAGATTATCAAAGGTTCAGAAATTTTGGAAGTACTTCACAGTAATCCAGATGTCAAAGATTACTTATTTTCTCTATACAATTGCCACTATGCTGATTTCTTTAAAAATTTAGGTACGAAAAATATTAATTTCAGTACTAAAACTGAAGTGATA